CCCCAAAACTGCTCAACCTAATATATGAATTTGGCAAAACAGCGGGTTACAAAGTCAATATCCAGAAATCAAAGGCATTTTTGTATACCAACAATAAAACAGCAGAACCAGAAATCAAGAAAAAAATCCCATTTGATATAGCAAAAACAAAAATAAAATATCTGGGAATAAACCTAACCAAGGAGGTAAAAGACCTGTATTCAGAAAACTACACAAAACTGAAGAAAGAAATTAAGGAAGACACAAACAAATGGAAACATATACCATGTTCATGGATTGAAAGAATTAACATCAGTGAAATGTCCATACTACCCAGAGCAATTACAGATTCAATGCAATACCTATTAAAGTATAAATGACATACTTCACAGACATAGAACAAACACTTCAAAAATTTATATGGAACCATCAACAACCCCAAATAGCAGCTGCAATTTTAAGAAAGAAGAACAAAGTAGGATGGATCACAATACCCGATACCAAACTGTATTAAAAGGCCACTGTAATCAAGACAGCCTGGTACTGGCATAAAAACAGTCACACAGACCAATGGAACAGAATAGATAGCCCAGAAATAAACCCAAATCTCTATGGCCAATTAATATTCAACAAAGGGGGCAGCAACATAAAATGCATTAATAATAGCCTCTTCAACAAATGGTGTTGGGAGAACTGGACAGCTACGTGCAAAATAATGAAACTTGAGCACTGACTTACACCATACACCAAAATAAATTCAAGATGGATAAAAGACTTAAATGTAATCCATGACACACCGTTAAAGTCCTAGAGGAGAACACTGGCAGCAAAATCTCAGATATTTCATGCAGCAACTTTTTTACTGATATGTCCCCCAGAGATAGGGACATAACGGAAAGAATAAACAAATGAGATCTCATCAAAATTAAAAGCTTTTCCATGGCTAAAGAAAACAGTACTAAAATAAAAAGACAACCAACTTTATGGGAAAACGTATTTGCCAATGACACCTCAGACAAGGGTTTAATTTCCAAAATATACAAAGAACTTACACGACTCCACTCTAAGAAGACAACCACCCCAGTTAAAAAATGGGAAAAGGACTTGAACAGACATCTCTCCAAGGAGGACATACAGAAGATCCAGAAACACATGAAAAGATGCTCAATATCACTAGCTATCAGAGAGATGCAAATCAAAACCACAGTGAGATAACACTTTACACTGGTCAGGATGGCCATCATAAACAAAGCAACAAACAACAACTGTTGGAGAGGATGTAGAGAAGAGGGGACACTCATTTATTGTTGGTGGGATGCAGACTGGTACAACCACTGTGAAAAACAGTATGGAATTTTCTAAAAAAACTGAAAATGGACCTGCCTTTTGACTCAGCAATTCCACTGCTGGGATTATATCCTAAGAACCCTAAAACACCAATCCAAAAGAACCTATGCACCCCAATGTTCATAGCAGCACAATTTACAACAGCCAAGAGCTGGAAGCAACCTGAGTGCCTGTCAGTAAATGAATGGATCAAAAAATTATGGTACATATACACAATGGAATTTTATGTAGCAGAAAGAAAGAAGGAGCTCCTACCCTTTGCAACAGCATGGATGAAACTGGAAAGTGTTATGCTGAGTGAAATAAGCCAGGTGTTGAAAGACAAATACCATGTGATCTCACCTTTAACAGGAAGCTAAATAACAAAACAAACAAGCAAGCAAAATAAAAACAAAGACACTGAAATAGAGATCTGGGGGACAGTGACCAGAGAGAAAAGGGGAGGAAATTTCAGAAGGAAAAGGGGAAGGATTTACAGGAACTAGTATAAAGGACACATGGACAACAACTAAGGGGGGGGTGGATATGGGACGGAGGTGGGGAGTACTGGGGGGGTGAGCTGGGATGGGAGTAAAAAACAGAAAACTGTACTTGAATAATAAATAAATAAATTTTAAAAAAGAAAGAAAGAAAAATAATAAACCATTAATAAAAAACAAATTTAATTCCATCATTCAATCTCTTTAACAAAAAACAAATAGTCTTAGTCTTCTTGGACTAAGCTTATATTTCTCATCATTCTACATGGCTTGTAAAGTATTACCTCCAACTGAAATTTTAGAATGAATCCTGTTTTTTCCCTTGCCGTATTGTGTGCTGTTATTTTACTGATAAAGGAGCCGACTCTAGGCATGTGTTTCTGCTCTCATGTATCTAGAACTACAAAGTGTATCTACCCTGGCTTGTGTGTCTCCTAACAAATATGTGCCTCTGATGTTCTCCACACTTTCTTCCTTGGTGGGCAGGGGCTCAGAGGCACTGGACCCACTGGGATTCTCTAGAACTCAGAACAGGGCTGGGTCTGCGAGTGTGCAGGGTGGTCTGCTGCTTCTGAGGGGGGATGGGAATTCTGCTTCTGATCTATAGGAGTGAGTTCCTACCGAGCCATCCAATTGAAGGAAACAGCTAGAAACTCTAGGCAATAATTGGAGAACACCCCTGGCCTGTGTAGCTCAGTGGATAGAGTGTCAGCCTGTGAACCAAAGAGTCATCTGTTCAATTCCCAGTCAGGGCATGTGCCAGGATTTTGGGCCAGTTCCCCAGTCAGGGGTACATGAGAAGCAACCACACAGTGATGTTTCTCTCCCTCTTTCTCCCTCTCTTCCCCTCTCTCTATAAACAAATGAAATCTTTTTAAAAACATAATCAGGGAACAACACTTAAGACTTTGGAAAACTGAACAAAGACAAGACAATTCTGTAGAGAAGTCAATTCTCACATGCAGCCCACACTTGATGTTCCCAGTTTACTATCACTGGGCTCTGAGAGCAGCCACAGGCTTGTGTGGTGGTCAACAGTTTGGTAGGAAGTCCACTTTCCTCATGGTCATCAAAAACAGGCAGCCAGAGATTCTTGGGAGGAAGAGGGTAATTTCAGAAAAAAAGAACAACATAGAGAAACAGCAAATTATGTTTATAAACTCTTCCCGAGTCACCAAACATAAGTTCCAAACCAACTGACAGGCAAAAAGATGAGAGAGATGAAGATCAACATACCAATTTCTTCCTGATAAAAGGTGGATCAGGGGACCTGGCTTAGATGTGTGCCAAATACAAACCCTAAACCTGGACCCTAGCGTTGGACTTATCCACAAGGCCTCAGGTTGCTACAATCAACTGCACAAACCCACGAAAACACAAATACACACAGTCCACACACCACAGACTGCTCTCCCTGAGTGTTTGAGGTTGGAGGAGCACCTAGTCCAACCCTATCCAGCCAGACGAACCCAGGGAGACCCACCAGGGAACAGACTCACCTTCCACAGAACTCCCAGCCTGAGAGTCTTCCCAGAAAGAAGGGTGCTCATGGGAACCAGAAGTCCTGCTGGTTAGTAGACCACCTTCTAGAAGGGGACACTGGTGTGGGGCCTGAGTGTTCCCATTTAGGTCCAGGTGCCACCCTCTCCATTCCTACATCCACAGAGATGCTTGGGGTCTCCATCCTCAGCTCAGTGGCTGCTGTTGCTGCTGCCGCCACTTCTTCCTGCTGGTGAATTCTCAGGCCTGGACTCTCTGCCTCATCTCTGTTCCCACAAGGTCTCCCAGGCTGGAGACTCAGCCCACTATTGACATCTGATTGGAAGCTGTTCCTGGTGAAGCTAAGAAAGCCTGTTCCCTTTCTGAGTCCTCTGCTCCTTGTGCCTCCTCAGTTGCTGCCTCTCTTGCTTTCTAGGTTCCGGGTGCCGTAGCTGGGGGAAATTCCCAGAAAACAGGAATAGTCCCCATTGTCATTGCTCCTGGCCACATGGAAAATGTCACAGGCACTCCCTTCTGTCCTTCACATCAGGCCAGCAGGGCTGTTAGGGTTCAACCTGCTTCTGCAGGTGGTCTTTTTCAGGTCCCCACCCAGGGGGTCTGATGTTATTTTCTGCATCAAAATTTTTTGCTTGCTGCTCAGAACCTTCCTGATCCCACAGAAGCCACTGGTGTTGGCAGAACCGGGTGCCTGCTCAGCTTTCTCTGGCCCCAGAGGATTTTCTACTTCCCCTGAGTCAGGGCAGCCCCAGGGTGGGAGTGTCTACCCAGGAGACTGGCCCTCGTGGATTTTCCCCCCAGCCAACTGCTATCCACCACTCATTCATGTGGTGATTTTGGTGACTCTCAGCAGACTCAGGAAAAAAACAGGAACATTTATGCCAATATCCAGCACAGTGGGGCCCTAGTCTGCCTTCTGCTTAGGGTCAGAGGAAGGGGGGGGCTGGAAAAGGTTGTTGTCTGTATCAGACCCTGTCTGGGTCTCAGAAACCATGGACGCCAGGAGCACAGGATAGCTGTGCCCACCAGAGGCTCAGCTTACTAACTTCTACCTCTAAACAGTGGGTGATGGGGCTGGAGAGAGAGACCCTACCACCTGTATGTGCAGCATTCAGGACACAGTGAGACCCTGTACTCTGGGAAAGAAACATCCTCATCAGTGTATGGAATCTGTCCAGAGTCATATTCGCTTCTTTCAGGGAAAGAAAGAACATATATGGAGGATGGTAGAACCTTTCCCTGTATCTTAAATTTCACTGGACTAGAATTTGTAGTCCCAGCCAGAGGGAGTCAGACTCAGGGAACAAACATGGAAACCATAATGCTAAGAATGGTGCTTCTCCAGCCCTGTGTCTGAACAGAGACCTAAGTCTGTTCCTCTGTAGCCTCTCCAAAAATCGGGTCATGAGAACAGTGGGCTTTGCTCGTTTTTTTGTTGTTTTTTTTTTTTTTTTTGAGTCTTTGCTCCAAAAAGGGGACTGCTGAGGGCTGGTCCTGCTCATTGCTGGAAGTCCCCCAGCCCTGGCCCTCCAGGTCCTGAATGTCCCTCTTTGTCCTCCATTCCTGCTGCCACAAGTCCTGATGGCTGAGAACCACGTCTGGCTGCAGGAGGAGGGAATGTGTCTGAAAACACTTGGAAAGTTACTTTCACTTCTATTTTCCCTGTTTGGGTGGAGCCCTTTCTGAGTGAGTCCATTACAGACTTCCTGCTCAGGGCTAGGTCGGGTGACACTAGGCTGACTGGAAGCAGGGGACAGGACAGGGATCAGAGGTCCTGGCAGGGCCCAGGGCAGGACAATGGCAAGTACGGGCAGCAGCCTCAGCACCAGGTCAGTCTCTGCCTTCCTTCCTTTAACTTCCTCTCTGGCTGTGCTGCTGCTTGACTGTCTGGCTTTAGACACTCAACTAAACCTTGACCTTAGTCCTGCTTTACACGTACTCTCACACTCAGTATAATGAAATGCAGGAATATGTGATAAGGAAATTGGATCTTTAAACTGCAGAGGGACAGCCGCTAGTGTGAGCTCAGCGGCCACAGCCCACAGGACTCTTGTGTTACACCTACTGCTCTGCTGATGGCCTCTCTTAACTCAGCTTTTTCTTTGTGACTTTGAGAAAGGGATTTGTTATTTTCTCATGACCTCTGAACTCTCTCATTTCCCTCTGGCCCCTCCACCTTCACCTAGGTCGTTTCAAAGAGGGTGCTTAAGAAAATATAAAATTCAGGTTAAACATCTGACTTTGGGTGCCTTGGTCTCCTACCTGACCTGGGCACAGCTCAGTACTGGGCCTATTCCAGTCTCTGACTGGGGCTCTGGTTCTTCCTCCAGGAGCCTTGATGAGGAAGCCAAAGAACAAGGAAGGACCAAGATGCCAAAGACCAGTGCAGACTGACATTTCGTTTGTACTTTGATTTTCTCCTCTGGGTGGGTTCTTACTCTGACAAGGAGAAGGCTAGAAACCGGACCTTTTTCTTTAGTAATGAGTCCTAAATGACGTTACTTAATGCGTTTTTTAGTTTTTTTAATCCAAAAGAAATACATTATACTTTCTTTGTCATAAAATTTCAAACGACAGGGATGTATACAAAGGGAAGCAGTCCTATTCACCTTTCATCCCCTGAGGCTTCCATTCTTGGGCTTGCTGAGTGTTGTGGGCACAGCTTTTTATGTCTTTTCTATACATTTACATGAAAACATGTAAAGTGTGTTTTCATTAAAACATGACTTGTTAGCAAAACCTGTTAGGAAATCCCAACAGGTTTTCCTGTTAGGAAAACTTACTTGTTTTCCTAAATGCATAATTTCTATCTCATTTTTTCAGTGAGATCATATTGTATACACCATTCTGGATTTTATGTTTTTTTTAATTTTAACATTAAAATTATTAGGGTTTTTCACATTAATAAACATAAGGATCTACCTCATTCTTATTAAAAGGTGCATACTGCTCCATGAAGCTATTTTCCATAATTGTTAAATTATGTTCCATTTAAACCAACTATGTTGTTTTAAATTGTTCACTGTTACCAATAAACTGTGATAATAACAATTACATATTTCTTTATGTTTTTGCATATATACAAGTACATGTGTCATAAATGAAAAGGTAGAATTGTTCAGGCAAAGGGTACTAATACTTAATTGTTCATAGATCCTAGCAAACTGCCTTCCTCATGGCTGAACCACTGTATTCTCCCACCACTGTCTGATGAGCCTTCTCTTCACACACAGACTTCACAAGGAGCTGGATGAAGGGATGCAGCCTGTTAATCTGCATTCTCTGACTGCATGGGAGGTTGAACAGGTTTTCAAGTCTATTGGCCTGAAATTGCCTCTTCTATGAATTGCTGGTTTATTTTTGGCCAATGTAATAAGTTGATTGTCCTTCCTTTAATGACAAGGAGGAGTTTGCTACATACTCTGAACTTATCAATATGCTTCCTTGCCTTTAACTTTTTTATGGCAACTTCTATCTTGTTAAAGCTTTCAAATTTGGAGTAAAAACTTATAGTATTGATTTTAAAAGATAGGTGCACCCTGTTTATCACAAATAAATAAAAGCAATGCTGAAAGTTACTGATGAATTCCATGCACACTGTCTTTAACTGGAGTTCTTGTGTTCATGAGGAGACAGATTCAATTCCACCTTTACTTCAGGGAAAGTTTCTTCTCTAATATGTACATGTGTTTTTTAATTTTGGGGTAAAACTCTTCTTCCATACATGCAACTTTGGTCTTCACAGCTTTATTTGTCCCTAATAAATCAGCTTTTTACTTCCTGTTCATAATAGTTGTCTCAAATTTTCATCTATGACAACTACTTAATTTTCAGTAGTTCTTGTGGGGTTTTCTTACTACTAATTGTTTGAAATGCTGAGTCTGTGAGCATTTCAAAATGCTCACAGGCAAAATTTCAGAGGGCTGGGAGCAACCATAGCCCTCTGTCTGTGTAAAGTCCAGGTAATCAGTCTCCAGCTGTGGCCAGAGCTGAGCTCTGCTTTCCTAGGAGGAAGTGACTTCCCAGCTTTCTGCTCTCTGTTCCCTGGACCTCATCAAAATGGTCATGGCCAGCTCCAAATGGTGAGCCCTTGGGGAGGTAATTCTACTCTGCCTTTCAGGGACATTTGACATGGTTTCTTCAGCTTTTTGGTCTGAAAAACTTTACTGTGTATCCTGAGGGGGAATCTGACTGTGTGTTGGGACCCTCACTCTACCCCTGCCTGACCCTTACAAGTTTTCCTTCCTTCTTGCTCCCAGCAGAACTCCTTGTCCTTGACCAAGCCTAGGTTCTCATTCTCTGCTTGGGAACTAGTTTTTTTTTCATATTTTGAATAGTGTCTTTCAAAGCAGAAAATATTTAATATTTTTCCCTAATTTATCAGTGTTTTTCTTTATGGGTCAAGCTTTTGGTTTCATAGCTATCTTTTTGTCTTCTATAACCCAAAGTCACAAAGATTTCTCAAAAGGTGATCTCATTTTCCCCTTAACACAGTCCAGCTTTTGCAATTTATGCTCATACCAGCAATGAATGTCTGCTTCTCTGAATCTTCTCCCATGCTGCTTTGTCACTTGTGAAATTGTGTTTGCCAATCTAGTGGGTGAGAAATGGTTTCTCATTGATACTGTAGTATGTATGTATTCATATGTTTATTGGACATTTTAATTTTATTTTCTCTAAGTGACTGTTCAGATGCATTTTTCTTGGCATTATATGTCATATTTTCTCAATAGGGTAGAGTCCATGTGTATCAGATATAATAATTCTTAGACCTGTGTACTGAAAATATAGTTCTACATTCTTTTACTATCTCACTAAATTTTTCACATCAAACCAATTAAGTCTTCTACTTACTTTGCTTGACTCATATTTTTCTGTCATATATATGTTTAGATTGCCTCATCCACTTTCAATAGGATTATAAACTGCAGGTGCACTACACTTTTACAATAATTTCAGAAGGAGTGACACTTTAAAATTGATATGTTTTCCTAACCAAAAGCATCTTCCACATCCTCATTTATTCAGAGCTTGATAATTATCTTCAATAAGACACTATAGTTTCTTTCATATAGTTCATAACTTTCAGATGTTTATAAATATATGAATGTATATTTACTATTGTGTTTGAAGTAATATTTTCTTTTCAACATGTGTTATTGCAAATAAAACCTGTTCATTTTATGTACCTTTTAAGAAATTCATGCCTCTTGGCAAATTCTTTTTCTACTTCTTAGGGAATTTATTTAGGTTTTTATCATATCTCTATATATAATCAAATATCATATAATATTATGTCTTTTTAAAATATGTATACCAATGAATTTTTTCTTATCCTGTTGCATTAGCTAAAACATATATGTGAGTTAATTGTGGTAATGGTAGGCATCATTGAATGGTCTCATCACTTCAATGTTTACTGTAGTATTTGCTGTTTTTTGAGAGTTTGTAATGTGTCAGCTTTCAACTATTTCATATGGTTTTCCTAAAAATAGCAGTGTGGAGTCTCCAAATTTAAAAACTAATTTATGAATATAACTATATACTTTCACTGCTGTTGTTTATTGTTGCCATAAATTTCATAAGAGGTTTCCTGATATGTAGCAGTCTTTACTCAATCTCATTCCACTGTCTTTCTGTATTTTTTTTTTTCAAAGCAACCTCTAACTGCAAGATCTATTACCCCTCTTCCCAGCAAAGGGCTTTTTGTTTTCTGTCATACAATTTTGGGGTATTGCTATTATTTTCACACACAGCATGTTTAACTTTTAGCAATTAACACTTTCTGGGACTTCTTGTGTAATGAAGATAATGATGTGTTGACATATATTTCAAAATATTGAAAATAAATTGTAGTTCCCTGTTTTTAGCATACAAGATTATGTAATGTGTCTTTCTAACAAATTTCTCCAGAGCCTGTACAATAATTTTTGCTTGTGCAAAAACTCAAAACCTAGAAGTAAAAGTGTTTTTAATATTTATAAAACATTTGTTCCATTATTTGTGTTTTGAATTGTTCTATCACATCAGTATGAGCATCATTTTGTTGGTGCTGTTATTGTTTATATTTACATACCATAAATTTTCTCTCTGTGATTTTAATAACTTTTTTATGGCACTTTGATTTCCTTGGGTCCCTTGCTAGATTCTATTTTTGATTCTGTGCTGTCCAATATCACCACTGTTTCATCTACATCAAGGATTTTGCATAATATAATTTTTGTACTTTTCCTGTTTTAACTTTTAAACTCCTTATTGTTTTCCTTGTCCCTTTTTGTCTAATAATGCAAACTATGTATTCTTTTTATTTTACATCTTCCTGTTTAAGTGACATTAAAAAAGCTCAATTTTAATCAACCAGGGTTATTTTCAATTTAATTTTAATCTATATTTTTGTAATTTTGAATTTGAAACCGTTTTGTAAAAGTTTTTGAAATTAAGAAAAAATCATATCAAGCAAATAAAAAAAAGGACTCATGGAAAATAGTGTAGGGAACTGGGGCAGCAGGTTATAAGGGGTATAAGAGGTAATGAAAAAATGCAATGAAAAATTGAATTTTACAGTATAAAAACAAGTCATTTAACTCCAATTTTCCTTTACCACACAGTTCTACCCTTTAAGTTGTTAATATACTTTACAGCCTTACATTGAAATAGTCAGTATCTTGCAAAAAAATTTTTTTTCTAGAATAACTTTTTGCATACAGATTTTTTACACATTTAGTTGAATAACAAGTTACGTTTTTATTATTGGAATTATTGTTAATAGTACTGTTTTATTTATTTTTTAATTCTAATTTTACAATGCTGGCATGTATAAAAGCCATTATCATTTTACATTATTTCATATCCATGGCCCTTGCTATACTTATTTCTTAGTTACAGGAGATTTTTTGGAGAATTCTTTAGGATTTTCTGCATAAGCAATTATGTCATCTGCAAAGACAGTTTTATGTCTTTCAAACTCTATAGTTTTAATTTCCTTTTCATTTTCTAGTATGCATTCCAGTACAATATCGAATAGGACTTATAAAGGGAACATCTTTCCTTTTCCTGATCTTAGGGGGAAAGGGTGTAGTTTCTCAACAGGAGGTTTGATATTAGCTACAGGTTTCTTATGGATGTTCCTTCTCCACTTGAGGAAGTTCCTTTTTGTATCCAGTTTGCTAGGGGTTTTACATGAATGGATATGGATTTTGTCAAATGCACTTTCTGCATCAGTTGACGTGGCCACTCCATTTTTCTTCAGCCTCTTGATATGGTGGATTACATTGAGTGATTTGGAACATTGAACCAGCCTTGCATACCTGGGGTAAATTCTAGTTGGTCATGGAGATAATTTTTTGTACATTGTTATATGCAATTTGCTAATGTTTTGGTGAAGATTTTTGTATTGCTATTCATGAGAGTTATGGGTCTGTAGTTTGTCTTTCTCTGCTTTTGATGTTGCGGTATGCTGAACGCACAGAATGAGTTAAAACTTTTCCCTCTGCTTCTATTTTCTGGATGAGGCTTTGGAGAACTGTATCATCTCTTAGTTCAAGCTTAGCAGAATTCACCAGTGAAATTATTTGAGCCTGATACTTACTTTTTTTCAATGTTAATTACTCCTTCACTTAAAAAAAAACCAGATATAAGCCTACTCAAATGATCAAACTCAAGTGAGTTTTTGTAGTTTGTATCTTTTAAGAACTTGGCCCATTTTATTGATATTACCAAAATTGTACTCAGAGATTTGTCACAGTAGTTTTTCAAAATGCTTTCATTGTCCTTGGGATCATATGGTGATGATAGTGCTTAGACTTCTAATATTGATATTTTGTGCCTTTTATCTGTTTTTTTATTAGCCTGCGTTAAAGTTTATCAATTTTATTAATATTTTCCAAGACCCAGCTTTAGGTTTTGTGGTTTTCTCTGTTTTCTCTATTTCCACTTTCACTGATTCCTTTCTTATTACATTTTTATTTTATCCTATTTCTTCCATTTTAGGTTCAAATTGCTCTCTTTGTGCTCTTTTATTGCTGGTTTCCTAAGTGGGTAACAAATTTTTTAATTTCAGATCTTTATTCTTTTCTAACATATGTAGTTAACAGAATTTATTTTCCACTAATTAGTGCTATATCTGCTTCACCAATTTTTGATAAATGTTATGTTCAATTGCACTTAATTTAAACAATTTTAAATTTTCTCTTCAGACTTATTTTTTGCCCGTATGTTATTTAGAAGTACATTTTTTTGATCTCCAAATATTTGAGGAGTTTCTATTTCTGTGTAATTAATTTCTCATTTAATTTTTTTCTTGTCTGACTGCATACTCTATGATTTCTATTTCTCTGCACTGGTTATGGTGTGCTTTATGACCCCAAATGTGATCTGTCTTGGTGAAGGTGAGTTTCCCTGTAATCATGTGGACTATGTGTACAAAGTGTTATGAAGTGGACTATTCTATAGATGCCAAATAGGTTAATTTCATTAGCAGTGTTGCTCAGATCAAGTGTATTTTTATTAAATCTTTGCTTTCTAGGTCTATAAACTACTAAAAGAAGTTTTGAAAGCATCAAACTCTAATAGTAGACTTATTTATTACTACTTGTAGTTCTTCCAATTGTTACCTTCTATAATCTGATGGGGTGTGTTCAGGTGAATGCATGTTAAGGGTTAATAAGTCTTCTTGAAAAACTGGCCCCTGTTTCATATGTAATGCCCTCTTGCTCATTCATAACTTTTCTTGTTCTGAATCATTATTGTGTGGAAATAACATAGCTACTCCATCTATCTCTTGGTTAGTACTAGCATGATATCTTTCTCCATTTGTAACATGAGTTTTATACTTAGAGGTTTATTTTGTTAAGACAAATAGGTTTTAATTTTGTTATGACATATAGGTTTTGGATTTTTTCAGTCACTTTGATAATCTCAGGGATTTTTTCTTATTTTTTATTGTTGACACTATTACAGATGTACCCATTTCTCCCCCTTTGCTTACCTCCACTGAACCCCTGCCTCCCCTTCCCTCTGGCCATCACCCCACTGTTGTCTGTGTCTATGGGTTGTGCATGTATGTTCTTTGGCTAATCCCTCTACTTTTTCATACATAATCTCTGTTTCTTAATTGGAGCATTAAGACCATTCACATTGAAGTAATTACTAATAAATTGAATTAATATCTCTTATGTTTGTAACAGTCCTCTATTCATTGTATTTGATCTTTCCTCTTTTTCACCCCTTTTTATACCATCTCTGAATTTAATTTAGCATGTTACATGATTTTATTTATTCTATCTATTAACATATCAATTTACTTCTTTTTAAATGTTTTCAGTGTTTGCCT